CTCCAGTCTAGGCGACAGAGTGAGACTCCAACTCAAAAAAAAAAAAAAAAAAGATTCATTCTGTAACTCCCACCACCTGTCTGTCCATCCACTACAATATCTCACTCACTAATGCCAAATTATCCTTCCAAAAACATCACGAGTATTACTTTACTCCTCTAGAAACATCTTCAGCGGCTTCTAAATCCTATCAAAAAATGTGCCAAAACTATCCAGTCTGGAGGCCACCCTCAAGCAAACCCCAGGGCTCAGTCTTCAGGCATCTGCCTGCCACTCCTCATGTGCTACCCAGGCCTAACCCTCCACCCAGGGACCATGCCCATCCCCAGAGGCCCATGGAATCCCGACCATGCCAGCTTAGTGCTCAGGAGGCCTCCCAAAACGCCAACTGCTCCAGAGCTCATGGTCTTCAACTCTGACACTGCTGTGACCTGCCAGAGTCATCAAAGCCCACAGTGCAATTTGTGGGGGAGGGTCACAGGTCCTCAAGGCAGGACCACACCTTTGCGCCCCCTCTGTTCACCAGCTGCAACTGACCGCCTGCAAGGACCTGATGCCTGAGGACAGCAAGCCCAAGAGAAGGTCCTGGCAGGGCAAGAGGCAGGAATGAGCAAGCAAGAGCGACTGCCCGCATACTAGATGAGAGAACAAGGGCTTCCTGGAGACTTTAAGAAAAACAAGGGTAGTGAGGTACAGGTGTGGGTGGTGCTCTAGGTAATGAGGTGCCAAAGGTGAGGGGGAGAAAGACCGAGAAACCAAGAACAGCCTTCAGGTTTCTGGCTCAGATATCTGGATGGTGACGCTTTCGGACTTCAAGGGAAGGAATGCAAGTGGGGGCTGAGCACGGCTCAGTGTGAGAACTCATAGCCCTGGGAGATATCCAGGGAAACCCAGGCTCTGCTACAAACTGGGGCACCCCCAGGATGGAGACGGCAGTCAAAGGCCCATGAGTCGCCCAGCTTTCCTCTGAGGCAGAATATGATGGAGGAGTCGAGGCCCAGCAAGGCTCTGAGGGCACGACCTAAGGATGGGCGAGGAGGCAGCACCTACCATGGAGCAGGGGCAGCCAGGAAGAGGAGAAATACCAAGAGCAGTAGCATCCCCAGGAGGGAGTTGCCAGGGCATCAAGTGCCACAAAGAAATGAAGGAGATAATATTCAATGAACTCGGCAGGCTGGATGAAAATGAACCACAGCCGGGCTCGGTGGCTCAGCCTGTAATCCCACGCTTTGGGAGGCTGAGGTGAGTGGACTGCCTGAGCCCACGGGTTCGAGACCCGCCTGGGCAGCGAGACCTCATCTCTACAATAAATCAAAAAATCAGCCGGGTGTGGTAACGCATGCCTGTAATTCCGGCTACTCGGAAGGCTAAGGCGGAAGGATCGCCGGAGCCCAGCAGGTCGAGGCTGCGGTGGCCGGGAGCGACCACTGCACTCCAGTCTGGGCGACAGAGTGAAACTCCAACTCAAAAAATAAAAAATAAAAAAAATCAGCCGGGTGTGGTAGTGCAAGCCTGTAATTCCGGCTACTCGTAAGACTGAGGCGAAGGATCTCCAGAGCCCAGCAGGTCGAGGCTACTGCACTCCAGTCTGGGTGACAGAGTGAGACTCCAACTCAAAAAAAAAAGAAAAGAAAAAGAACCACAAGATTTCACTGTCTTCCCAAATAGCCATAGTGAACTTGCAAATATTCCACAAAATTAACCAAGCTTAGAACTGGATCTGTGTGGTCTGCTCTACTCCACCACCAGGAGGCACTATTTCTCTTTCCCGGGCAGCTGGCAGTAAGGTCAAGGCTGTCCACACTTTAATGTCATCACTACCTCTGAAGCTAAATATGAACAACAAAAGTCCATTCCACCTATAAATACCACAGAAGTGAGTGGGGCTGGTTAGAGAACACGAAATCATTGAAAAGCAGTTCACACAAAAGATTGGATTTTTTTTTTTTTAAGTGGGAACCTCACTCTGTCGCGTAGGCCGAAGTGCAGTGGAATGAACATGGCTCACAGGAACCTTCAACTCTGGAACTCAAGTAATCCTCCTACCTCAGCTTCCTGAGTACCTAGAACTACAGGAGCATGCTACCAAAAGCAACTAACTTTTTTTTAACTTTTTGTAGAAGCAAGGTCTCACTATATTGCCCAAGTCCAGTCTTGAACTACTGGCCTCAAACAATCCTCCTGCCTCAGCCTCCCAAAGTGCTGAGATTACAGGTGTGATCTCTGTGCCCTGTCCAAATTTTTTTAAAGGACCATAATAAACGTAACATAAGAAAATATGGATGAAAATATTCCTAATCTGGGGATATGTCATGTCTGTCTCTCAATATGACAGAAATGACAAAAATTATGAAGGAAAAGACCAAAATAAAAAAATACATTACGTTGAAGACAAATTACAAACTAAGAAAAAAAGTCTGCAATGAAAGAGAGTTAATATAGACATCAATTTTTTTTTTGAAAAAAGGTGAATACCCAAGAGAAAATTAGGCAAAAGTATGAACAGTTGATTCATTTAAAACTTTATAATCAACTTAGATGTTTAACTTCACCAGTAATTAAATAAATAAAATAAGACTTTCTTTGGTCTACTTGGGTAAAAACTAAAAACATGAACAACTTGGACAACCCATGGGAAAGGACAGTTCTTTGAAGGATCAGGAATGTAAAGTGGCCCAGCCACAATGGAGGTCAGTTTGGCAATACGGTTCCACATTGAAATGTAGGTGTTCTTCAAAAGAAAAGACAATTGGCAAGTGTGTGTGCGGTCACCAGAGCTGTCTTCACTAAATGAGTTCAGCGCCTACCTGTGGGCGGCTGGCTAGCCCAGGGCCCCAGCACTGGCCACTGGAAAACTGCACACAGACCCGTATTTACAGAGGTAGGGAGAGAGGTGTCTGCAACTGCTAGTGATTCTTAGAAGGGAGCAAGAGAATGGCATGGGTAGCATGTTACTATTTACATTAAAACTGTACTATGCACTATGATAGAGAGATGCCTGAGAGACAGCGCAATGTTAGCAGTCTAATCACCTCGGGAGAGGGCTGGCTGGCAGGGAAAATTCAATGACCATACAAACATTTTTTAATACACAATCAGTAAAATCAATTTCTATTTTAATACAAAAAAATAAAGTCAACTGAACCATAACTCTGAGGTGAGAAGTTCAAGTATATTTCTGTCCCCTCCTCATAAGCACAAAGCATCAAGTCATAAATCACTACTCTATAAAGAGCTATGAGGGGGAGGGGAGGCATACAGTCCCACCAAGACCCACTCTCACATGAGGACTGTTGTTTTTTAGCTTCTAACTGTGTACTTCCCACTCATGTGACACAGCCAGAGCCCCTGAGCCTGGATGATGTAGTCAGGTGGCCAGCACTCTCCTCACTCCTCCCTGGCCACAATCAGCACAACCTCCAAAACCTCCGCCAGCTCCTGCCCAGAATTGGTGCTCCAAGATGAAAAGAAGCAGGATATCCCCCTCTAGCCCTGGCACCCTCTCTGGTCCTAGCTGGGCTCCCTCATGTCCAAGTACCTGTTTGTGAAGATTGAGGCTGTCGATTTCAGAGAGTACCCAGCCAACACTGCCATCCCCACCACAAACCAGAATCCGGAAGGTGTCAAACTTCTGGAATAACCGTAAGCTGTAGAAAAAAGAGTAAGTCAGTGAAATGATGTCCACTGCATAAGATAAGTAAGGCCTTGACAATCCTGGGCCAAGGAAGCCATTGGTGTTCCTCACAGCTGACCTGCACCAGAGGGCCAGGTTCTAATACCTTCCAACATGAAAACACTCCCTCCCTTTTGGCCTCACTGAAGGAAAGCTTCTTCCTTAGTACCAAGCAGCTGTTAAAAAGAATAAAGCAGACCTGTAAATAATGACAAGAAAATACACCCACAATGTTGCATGCTGACACATGTGAACAGCATCTGCACAATGGCAAGTAAAGCCATCTGGCTTAAAAGGTGTGTGCTCATGTGTATATATGTGCGTGTACATGTGTGTTTGCATGTGTGCATGTTTATGCATATATGTGTGAGTGTGCATATATCTGTGCATGTGTATATGTGTCTGCATATGAATGTGTGTATGTGTGCATGCATGTATGTGGTGTGTTGAAAGCTGGAAAGCACCTCTATTGATCATTACGAGTGGGCACTTCTGTGAGTGCAGCTTAGGGAAGAGGTGGTTCAACTTTTCTTTCTAATTTAAAAATCTTCTGTCTTTGATCTTTTTTTAAATAAGCACGCATTATCTAGAAAATTTTAAAAACTCCAAGAAAGATGTATTTTACAAGCTTCCTACCCGAGGTGTGGTCCTCCGTTCATGAGGTCGAAGACCTGGGCGGGGTTCAGCAGCTGTTTGAACCTTCTGAGGAACTTCACACCCTGATTGTCCCCACTTTTTGAATTGACGAAGACCAACAATGGGCTTGTGCAAGATGGAGGACAGCTGGCCTTCCAGAACCCTGGATGTGAGAATGAGCAGAAGGAAGTACGTAAGCCATGAAGATGCTCTGGGTACTGCTGATCCAGTACACAGCAGTGGACACCCCAAGGGACATACCCGGACATGAACACACCCTAGAGACAGCAGGAGGTCAGTGAACAAAACGCCAGCTGCCCCAGAGCTCATGGCCTTCAACTCTGACACTGCAGTGACCAGTCAGAATCATCAAGGTCCACAGGGCAACTTGTGGGGGAGGGCCAGCCTGTATGTGTGAGGAAGAGAACCCTCTCTTCACAGAGTCCAAATTCCACCTTGCTGCTGTTTCCTCTGGCCCCCAATCTGGTAGAGCTGATTTCCTTTGAGCCACATACCCCGTGGCACTCCTTCCCGGGATTTGTGAGTACGTGACACCGAGTCTCAGCCAGACATGAGAGCACGTACGAGCCAGTGTGCTAGTGTCTGCCAGGCAGTGACATGCATAGCCTCTACAGCTTAAGGCAGCACACAGAGAAGGTCTTCGCTTCAGTTTCCACTCAACCAGCTTCATCACCTTCAAGTGCCAGCCTCAGTAGCAAGTGTGTCTAACAGCAATACAATAGAATCAGGACATCATTTATGGCTCTGCGTGCCTCGTCCACCCCCTTGGCTGCGCCTAACCTCTTGTTGACTACATCTCACAAAGAAAACCAACTCTAGAGCTGGGGAGGAGAGACACGTGGAGAAGGAAGGTAGATGTGACTGAGGACGAGAGTGTGTGGTACCCACCATCTGAGTCGATGCTATTGAGGGCCGTTGGTGGGATGACTGACACTTTGCACAGGCCAAGTGGGCACTTGGTCAGCAAGGATTCTTTACATGACGTGTGAACCTGAAACAAGAATCCACACATCACAGAGGTCACCACCATCCCTGATACACACCAGAGCCCTGCTGCCCAGCAGCTGATAAGCCAGCCTCAGGGGAGCCAGGCTGGCTGCTCCCATCAGGGCACCTGTGACTTGAGAAGTTGTGACACAAAAACACCAGGCAGAGCACTCATGGGTCTCACTGTGAGAGCTACAATCCTGGCCACCACTCTCTGGCCCCTTCACACAGCTCCTTCAACTGTCAGGCCTGGATAAGGGCTTGTGGGGCAACAGGCCTGTATGTGACCCGTGCTTAGGCTTCCTCCTGGCAACAAGGTGTGCTAACCATGTGACCACAGTAGCCACTCTCCACAAGCAACCTGACAGTGTGTACACTGAGGCTCAAGCCTTATACCACAGAACAATGATGACACCCAAAACCTGAGGGGAGGCCCACAGGCTGGGCCTTACTCTTCCCTCTCACACCTACTGTGACTGTGGTCACTGTGAACATCATCCCAGAGCAAATCCTTCTCACAAGAGCCTCTACGGCTTTCCTACTTTCATATGAGAGGTGATCAGTTAACCTATCCCGAATGACCCCTTCACAACCTGGCAGATGTGACATCTGTCATGAAGACACATTTGTGTGTACCTAAAAGGAAGAACTATAAAAAAAATTAGCCAGGCACAGTGACGCATGCCTGTAGTCCCAGCTACACAGGTGGCTGAGGAGAGAGGATCAATTGAACTCAGGAATTAGAAGCTGCCGTGAACTGTGATTGTACCATTGCACTCCAATCTGGGTGACAGTGAGACCCTGACCCAAAAAAACAAACAAACAAAAAAGGCAGGACTACACTCAGTAAAGGAATACACCCTCCGCCCCCCCCGCAAAAACAGTTACGAATGAGAATGATCAAATAGTCCACACAATCTAGTCTCAGAGCTGGAGGGGCCTATGGGGTGAGTCTACAAGGACTCAGAAGAGGGATACAGCCCCAGCCTGACATGCAGAAGCATAAGGCCTAGTGGGCACTGTGGGAGCAGGCTGTCCCCACCACCCAGGGCACGGGGCCCACTCTTACCATGGCCTTGCACCAGAGGCAGCGCCAGTCCTGCAGGCGCAGCACACTGCCACAGGTCTTGTCACACACCGTGCACTTGGCACTCACGGGCAGGTTTCCTTCTAGCCACTGGTGGGGCATGGCAATCTGTGACCAAGCAGAGATGCTCACTAGGGACACTCCCAAGGGACACTCCCAGGGCTCCAACCCAAGGGCCAGTCAGGAGCCCTTGGCATAAATGCTCTTTGTGAACTTAGACAAGACAGTCTCCCCAACACAGGCTCTTCCATGACAGCCAGTGAGGAGATGGGGCAGGAATGTAAAATACCATCCCACCCACAGCAACTGCCAGGAGCACAAGACACATGGGAATAAGGATGGAGTTGGGAGGTTCAGCAACCACACGGAGTCTCCATATTCTAACCACTGTGACACTTGATCCCAGAGCCCCTATTCTCTAACCACTGTGACACTTGATTCCAGTGTGACCCTCTCAAATGAAACAAACAGGAAGGGTAAGAAAGAGGCTCGTGTGTGGCTGTGCAGGTGGACAGTCCTGACTCAGAGCCCCAGGGGGTCCCTTACACATACCCCATCTGCATCCTCGATGATGTCCTTCCCAATCGAGGCCAGCGTGGTCCACTTGCAGTTATTGGTCGCACGCACAGCACATCGCTTGTGGGCTTTGAATTTGCATACTGTAAGAAGAAACATGTGAGCCTACAAGCTTCAACTGAGACAGGAGCATCCTGTGCTGAACGGATAGTGTTGTGAGAACGGTTCAGGTCTAGAAAAGTCGGGAAAGGAACCAAGAGCACTCCTGATTTGTAACTAAACTACTGTAATATGCTCAGAGGCTGATGATGGTGGGGTGAGAGGTGGAAGTGAGACCACAGACACAAGGAGTGCTGGGAGCTGGCCAGCATTCTCCAACAAGCCAGGGGGTAAATATCTCAGGTGTTGCAGGCCACACACAGCCTCTGTCACAGCTACTCAACTCTGTTGTGAAGCATAAAGGCAGCCATAGACAATACTATTTTATGGAAAGTGAAATTTGAATTTCATGTAATTTTCATGTGTCACAAAATATTACTATTTTGATTTTTTTACTCATTAGAAAATGTAAAAGCCAGTCTTAAGCTTAAGAGCTAAATAAAAACAGGTAGAAGGCAGGAACTAGCCACAGGGTGTCACTTGCAATCCCTGCTCGAGGCCATGCTCTTGCCACCAGGCTGAACTACCTTGCCCACATATGGCAGCCCTGACCTCCAGATCTGTCTGACACCCTCAGTCCACACATGCACAATCAATGGATTCAGACAAGGGAATTGCACTGGGGCCGATCGCATTTTAAAAATGGCTTTCCCTCCATGTTCTCTACACTTCCGCTTGGTTTCTCCTACCATCACTTCCGTTCTCCTCACTTTGTTTGAGTACTATGAAAAATGATTTATCAAGAACTCCTTAGCAGGTAAAATAAACAAGAACAGAAACACAGAAATCACTATGCCCTTGACTGAATGCATGGGTGGCGGTAGCTTATTTATGATGACTGTGTTTGGATTTCCAAGACTTCCAAATAAAACCTCAGGCCATCTTTCCCAACAGAATAACAAACACAGCCTCCATACCTTCGCAGGACAGCCCGTGGGATGTGACCCCAGACAGGGCCTCACGGCACACGTTGCAATAGGTTGGCCGGGCGTGGGAACAGGCGTACCAGTTGTGCATCCCTGAGAAATGGTCCATGCTATACTGGGTGGGCTGGAAGAACAAAATTAAGATGGCAAAGATAAGACGTCATTTTGAAAGTCTTAAATCAGGATTGGATAGGATTAAACAAAAGTATCCAAAAGGAGAAAGGAGGAAGGTTTACAAAGGAGAGGGCCATTTTCAACAGGTCTGCCAAAAGGGCAAACAACAAGCCTTAATTTTATAAGGCACATGCTGGAACATGAGTTCCAGAACTGTCAGTCACACACAGGCAATATCCCAACAGCAGGACATGAGGGTGAGGGCCACAAAGAACAACAGACATTTGTAGAAGGATATTTTTCTTTTCTAACCTCGAAATGTTCCCTGTTCTGGACAGTCTTTAGTGCTGCAATCCAATCTTCCATTTCTTTTCTGTTATCAGCACACAAGATGAGCTTCCTACAGGGGGTGATGACCTAGAGAAAGAAACATGCTCAATATATCTGTGTACAAAGGACAAGTGTCACAGTTTCAAATGCTTTTTAAAAGCCAACCTCATATCAATCTATCCATCCATCCATCCATCCATCCATCCATCCATCCATCCATCCATCTCTCTATTATGAAAAATTACTGTTTCATTCAGGAATTTACATTGAACGCAACATAAAAAGTTATCGTAGTCACTTTATTAAGAACAATCTCAAACCAAAAAGACAATGAAATGTAATGTTGTTTATGAAGGGGGACCCAAAAAAGCCCGGAATTTATTTATTAAAAATTGTATATTTATTCTTACTTGCTTGAATTTCAGTCACCTTCCCCAAAGTACTCTCTGTTTGATGCAATACACCTATTGAGACACTTTTTCCACTGCTCAAAATGGTTTTTGGACTTGTCAATTTTGACACCTTTTAGAGCTTCTGCCATTTTTTTGTTTCAACTCTTTTCATATAGGCAAAATGTTTGCCTTTGAGGACTCTGTTCATCCGGGGAAACAAAAAAGTCACTTGGGGCGAGATCAGGAGAATAGGGAGGGTGGGATATGAGGGTCATGCTGTTTTTGGTCAAAAATTGCCAAACACTCAGCAACATGTAGGCAGGTTGTTCGTGTAAATCACACATAATGAAATGGGCAAAACGCATTGAAAGAATCTACACACACACACAAAAATTCACTGAAGCTGAGAGCAGCCTCTCACGACAACGCTAGTTGGTACACTGATGCCAATGGGTTCCTCAACCACTGACCCAGAAGGGAAGCCTATACTACGAGGGGACTGCCCCCAAAAAAATAATTCCATTTTTTTGGGGGGGACCCCCTCATATATGTTCATCAACGATGAAATTAAGTCAATATTTATAATAAACTAACAACTTAAGACATGATAATAAGCCCTAGAAAATTTACACGGTGGCTCATGCCTGTAATCCCAGCACTTTGGGAGACTGAGGTGGGAGGAATGCTTGAGCCCAGAAGTTCAAGATCAGCCAGGGTAACACAATGAGACTTCGTCTCTACAATCAAAAAAGTTAGCTGGGCATGGTGGCACGTGCCTGTAGTACCAGCTATTCAAAAGGCTGAAGTGGAAAGATTGTCTGAGCCCAGGAGACTGAGACTGCCTTGAGCCATGCTGTGCCAGTGCACCCCAGCCTGGGCAATAGAGTGGGACCCCAACTCAAAAAAAAAAAGCCAGGCACAGTGGCTCACACCTGTAATTCCAGCCCTCTGGAAGGCTGAGGTGAAAGGATTGCCTGAAAGCAGCCTGGGCAACATGGCAAGACCCCATCTCTACAATAAATAAAAAAATTAGCTGGGCACGGCAGTGCACTCCTGTAGTTCCAGTTACTTGGAAGCCTGAGGCAGAAGGATCACCTGAGCCCAGCAAGTCGAGGCTGCAGAGGCTGTGAGCGTGCCACTACACTCCAGCCTGGGTGACAGAGTGAAACTCCAACTCAAAAAAAAAAGGAGAAGCAAACAGGAAAAAAACATAGTTGCTCCTGCTTCAGAGAGCCCACAGTGACACCCAGCATTTCAAGAGAAGTCTGGTCCACAGTGACTCCGCAATATCAGCGTGCATCACACAAAAATGTTCTTTAGAAAATCCCAATATATGACAACAAAAAGCCAACAAGAAAACAGATACAATAGTCAGGGCCTAAACAACTCAATTGGAAATGAGGTTATGAACCTAGTAATAATCAACATATTAAAATGATATCCATAAAACAGTTTTCATAAATCAGTAAATAAAATCTTCCTGACATAAAAAGACTGTGAACTTGCATTTTGCAGAAGAAATACAAAATGGCTAATAAGTGAATAAAAAGCTCCTTAATCACTCTAGTCATCAGAGAATGCAAATGAAAATAGCAATCTATTTTTCACCTATGGGCTTGGCAGAGTTTTAAAAGATGATAATCTAGCGCTGGCAAAGGTATGGGAGAAAAGATTTCAAGTACTGAAAGGAGGGAAACAGGGTACAAATGTTTTAGAAAAAAATTTGACAATATCTATCAAAATTTTCAAAGGTTATATCCTTTTACTTGATTTTGTTTTATAACAATGTAAAGTATCTATATAGTTCCAAAGTCAAGGTTATAAACAAGGCAGAGCAGAAGTGTGACTTTTACATCTCTCCCCTCTATCCTGGTTCCCACAGGTAGCCTTAAAAAAAAGTAAGGTTTATCATTCCATTTTTAGCTATATGCAAACACGGATATATTCATACTCTCCCCCTTTTAAGCAGTAGCACAAACACATTTCTCCATCCCTGTGTTTCAATTAAATTACATATCCTGGCCCCTACTCTTCAGTAGTATCTAAAGCGTCCTTATTCTTCTATACAGTGGCAAGGGGTTCTATTGTACAGAAACAACACAGCCTATTCAAACAGTGCTCTGTGGGAGTTTGCACTGTTTAAAATCCTTTGCGCTGGGAGCAGTGGCTTACACCTGTAATCCCAGCACTTTGGGAGGCTGAGGCAGGAGGACTGCTTGAGACCAGGAGTCTAAAACAAGCGTAGGCAACATAGCAATACCTCCTCTCTACAAAAGAGTTAAAAAATTAGCCGGGCGTGGTGGCGTGCACCTATAGTCCCAGCTACTTGAGAGGCTGAGGCGGGAAAATCACCTGAGCCTAGGAGGTGGAGGCTTTCTTGAGCCATGATCATACTACTCCACTCTAGTCTGGGTGACAGATTGAGACCTTGCCTCAAAAAAATAAATAAATATAATCCTTTGCCATTTCACACAGTGTCGCCAGGAACTGTCTTCACACACAGGTCTCTCCCCATTTTTTTCCATGTACCTCTGGGGTAAATTCCTAGAAGTAGAATTGCCCCATAGAGTAAATGCACATTTACTTTTGCTAGCAATTGCCAAGCTCCTCTCCACAGGGGCTGTGCCATTTGCATTCTCACCAGCAGTGTTAGGAAAATGCCTGCTTCCCTATGGATTCACTAACAAAATATGTTATTTAGTTTTTGGATTTCTGCCCATCTCATAGCTTTAATTTACATTATGAAGACCCAATTTAGGAACACCCAATTTAAATTATTCAATGATTACATTTCCGCTCAGAAAGCATAGAAACGGTGCTTTTATACAGAGATTCTCTCTCCAGTGGTAAAGTTTCATCACAGAGGGGATGAATTGAACTGGGTCACCCGGGCACGGCTCGTTCTTTCTTATACATATCTGGGGTTCTTGGGGGAAGAACACCCGGGCCAGGCCAGGTGAGGGAGTGGCAGAGCCAGGAGACAGCGAGGGTGAGGAAAGACAGAGTAACCCAGGACTGAAGGGACTCTGCCTTCCTGCGGCCGGAGAAGGCAGTGGGGCTGCTCTGGTCTCTCGAGCATCCAGAGCATAGGAACAGCCCTGTCCTGCATGTCCCTTCTAGACCTGGATTCTGAGAACATAGCAGACGAGGTTCCTGCCTTCACAGAACTCACACTGGGGAAAGACAGAAAGACAATCATTCTCAATGCCAACCAGGCCATAAAGATGACAAAACGGGGCCTGTGCATGGTGGGTACTTGGGGACAGCCTGGGAGGAGAGGCAGCCAAGGCTGCACCACTGTGTCAGTCTCGGGCACGGTCCCTGTCTGTCGGTGGAGTCTGAGCACACATTCCTAACTGCTTGCTCTGGGGTGAGCTTTTTAATACTGGAATATTTTGTCAGCATAACAAATACAGTAAGAAAAAGATAATAGACTTCACTGTGCATAACTCACAGATTATACTAGGAGTCATGCAATAGGACATTCACAGAAGACAAAAGTGAGATTTGTAGGTCTCATTCTATTCCAAGTCTTATGTCTACCACTCCAATGATGGCCTTTATGGGATAGTTTCCACATCATCCAAGAACTCAGCTATGGCATTAAGGAAGATGGATCTTTGGGTTCCACCTCCTCCACATGCTGAAGGAAGGGTTTACTGAAATAGCTTCATGGGTACTGGGCACTACTGGCAGCAAATTATAGACAAAACCATTAGATTTAAAGACAGTGAGTTAATGAAAGCAATAGTAAATGATGTCATTTCCTTAATCTGTGCAATTGTTTACAAGGGAATAAACACTGATCAACAGATAAATGCCCAAGAACCTGGCTTTGGCTTCTGCATTTAACTCTGACGTGTGCCTGCTCTGTTGTGAAAAAGCCCAAGACAGATGCAGATCTGATCCCACCTGGCCACTGACTGGTAGGGAAATGTGGGCAGACTCTGCTTCTCTTCTGGAAAGGAGATGAAAAAAACTACCTGGTTGGGTTGTGCTGAGAATGAAAGGGGTCAAATGTGTCTAGGACCTGGCACAGTGTCTAGGTCCCTGGGTCTGAAGCCCCTGCCAGCTGTGTATCTTGAAGTGGGTGTTTCTCCACCCTGTGCCTCTATTTTCCCTCTGAAAATCATGGCTGTTGACAGCAGTATCACATCTTAGCATTATTGTGAGGTACAAGTCAGCGTGACCTTGTAACACCTAGGACAGCACCTCTCACATGAGTCACTGTCAGTGCTATCTCGGGCTCAAAGTCTTCAAGCTTCATTATCATCATTTGGTTTGGCCAAGAGTCCACCTTGCCATGTGAATATGGCCTTCCTTGAGACTGCTCTGGTGATAATGGTCCACTCTCCCAAGTCACTAGAACAATCAAAGAGTCCCACCAAATAAGTCAGAATTCACGTGTCTCAGCTGCCAACAGAGCAGTCACCACCGAACCCGGCCTCTCAGTATCGGTCTCCACCTGCACATGCAGGACTTGTTGTGTCTCACATGTCTGTGCCACTCCTGTTGCTGGGCCCTGCCGTGTCCCCTCAGCTTTAGCCCCCACCAGCCAGTGGGTACCTTTCAGGCAGAAGCCTGCTTCTTCCTCCCTGTTGCCTAACTCCAACCCCAGCCCAATACATGGAGGAGAAGGTGCTCCTCCTCAGGTGGCTGATTCTGGGGGATGTTCTGGACAGCAATTCCTATTCA